TAAATGCTGCCAATCACCATATGGCAATTTCTGCCTCTTCAGAATTGAATGACAGGTGCTGAAGTCCAGATATCTTCCCATATTCACAGTCAGCACAGCCTCTCCTACCTTGCAGAGGTTGGCCTGCATCACCACCTGGCGGGTTACACTTCACAAGACCAGTGTGGGAAGTGTAGAAGCCCAAGAGGTTTAGCATGCAGTGCGGAATCCCCTCTTGAGTTTCAGTATAGACAGTGAGGCCTGAACCTAGATTTTCCTTCTAATTTAATTTTTCCAAGTCTACATAATTTACTGACAAATGTTTCTCCTCTTTTCACAGACCTGCCTAAATTCACTGAAGCAAGGCAAAATGTGCCTTACCTTTGGTTTTTTGGTGTCAAATACCTGCCCAGAAAACCGAGTTTTAATTTGATAAGATATCTAGTCACCATACTGATTCTCTCAACCCATAATTCATCTGGCATGAGACCACATCCTGCTTAAGTAATCCTTAGAATACACTGGAGCAGAAGTTGTATGAATTATTAAAATCCAATCCAATTACTCTTTTGTATTATCCACTCAGGAGCCCTCTGATTTTCCAATGCTTGTCTTAGACATGGCCAAGCTCACAATCTCCTTACTTATAAGCTGTCGATTTACCCAATCCCAACCTTCCCGTTCTCCTAGTATAATTGACTGCCTTCCAAATCACCACAACAAGCTTTCAATGATTCCGCAGGCCAAGAAAATTAGTAGAAATTCATCAGCCAATTCATCTTGAGACAAACACTAAAAGCCGAATGACTGGGAAAGCATCATCATGTTCTCTGGCACCCATGAGCCCCATTTCCAATGAGGCAACCCAGCTCTTGATTCGTGGAAGTGACCACTGTCACTCAGACTTCCTCTATGCATTGGGAAAAGGTGCAGGAACGGGAGGTTCACAGCCCCTTTGGTTGGTTAGAAGGGTTATGGAATGCTGATGGAGATCTGTGGAATGTGGGTGGCATGGCCAGGAGAAAAGCAAACCTAATTCCAAAAAGCCTGATCCTAATGTAAGTCTTGGCCTGTTCTTTCCTCTGCCGTCATGGTGTGTGAGCTTCACTACTTTCCTTGCCATTCTTTCCTCAAGACCTTCAGAATCAAATGATTCCCGGCCAAGAAACAATGGCAAAATCACTCCATTCTGCCAGTGGTTTGGATGAAAATGGAAATAAAGTCAAATACAACTCCAAGAGGAGCACTGGAGAAGAGCCACACCAGGCCTGTGAGGAAGTTCATGTGACCCGGCACAGACATGGAGTCCGTGTTGGGGTCACTGTCATCTCCCCTTATGGAGCTGAAAATGTCCCCACTGTCTGAACAGTGGGAATCTGATTTTTCTTTTTCTATGATCTACACTAGGGGGTTGGCACAGTAATGAATATGTGAAAACTTCTGAAAAAAAAAATGACGTCTCTATTGACATTCTTATGGGAGGAAGCCAAGAACGAATTTCACTGCACAACTCACAACCAAACTTCCAAAAATCCTCTTTCCAGACTCCTCTCCCTCAAATCTTACTTCACAGCCACTATTTCTCTCCCCTTCTCCTCCTCCTCTCTTCTGCAGTCCTCAGCCTCCTTCTCCTCACTTTTCACCTTCTCCCTTCCTCTCTCCCCTTTCTCAAGCAGTGGATTGCAGCCTGTTCCTGACTTCTGCTGACCAACCTTGTCACGGATCTCAGAGATGACTGAGCCAGCCAAAAACCTGCCCCCAGAAGTCAGGCAGGAGACAAGGATTGGAACTACATGTATTTCACATTTTTGTCTTTTCATGCCACCAATATAATACCAGTCTTAATTTCCTTGATGTGTTCCCAAAGAAGATACACAGATCCTCTATAATTATCTCCCCAGACCCTCAGGATGGCCAGAGCTGGCAAAGACTGAAAAAGATCGCCCATCCCTACTCCCTGTGGACCACTGACCACATCTTCTTAGTGACTTACCTACCTGCTCATCACTGGAATTGTTTAGGATAAGAATAATGACCCATCAGGGACTCTCTGTCTCTAAGATTTCATGATTGCAAATATTCCTTCCTCCCTACTCTTTACAATTGAATGTTGTCTTTCTACTTGTAGTCCATATGTCCATCACAAATGAATGGATAAAGAAAATGTGGTATTTATACACAATGGAGTACTACCCTGCCATGAAGAAGGATGAATTTGAGTCATTTGTAGGAAAATGGATGCAACTTGAGACCACAATGTAAAGTGAAATAAAAGAGACCCACAAGCTTAAAAACTGCATTGCACAGTTTCTCTTGTACAAGAAATCCAAAATATAAAGAGCAAAATAAAAGCTAGATGACAGGAAATAGGGAAATAGATCTTTTGCAAATGGGAAAGGAACTAAGAGATGGAGGGAAGTGAAGGGAAGGGAAGAGAAGGGAATGAAAAAAAAACTGAAATGTGTTATGGACCTTTGCCAACTCCCAACCTCCTGAGAAGGAATGCAATCATTATGTACTGCAAACATGTACTCATAAAAAGTAAAAATGGAACAAAAGTGCTCCTTTCATCTTCCCATCCTCCAACTGTAACCAGCAGATAGAACAGTTCTTAGTACCTCTTTCTTTTCTTTGCCCACGTCACCAAAAATCCCAGTAATCTTACCTCAAAAATCTCAGTCTTGCTCTCTTCATGATCTCGGCCATTCTAAGGTTAAATGTTATCTCTCCAGCCTCTAATTTTGGCCTGTGGGATTGTGCCCTGTTTATAACAGCAATAATACTGAAGGAGAATTAGCTATGTTTCTAACCCAAATCCACAGAGCTCACACTTGCTGTGACTCATTTTGGGAAGTGGAACACTTAAGAAGTGATAGTTGTGGCCAGCGCCCAACTTCCATTATTCTCTCAGGGATAAATAAACACTGTGCCAAACTTATTAGTCAGGGTTCTCTTTACACATAAGTAACAGGAACTCAGATTATGCTAGTTTAAGGAGAGAGAGAGAGAGAGAGGGAGAGAGGAAGAGAGACAGAGAGAGACAGAGGGAGAGAGAGAGAACTTGTTGGCTTAAATGGAAAATCCAGAAGCACAACTGGTCAGAGACAGAGCAAGACCCTGGGTTTAAACAAAGTTTACTTTCTGAATCTCCGATTTCTGTTTGCTTCTTCTTAGTCCACTTTCTGCTATTTCCAAAGAGCGCCCCTCCCCCTCCGTAGAAAGGGCGCCTCCTTCGCAGACGAGAAAACGGTCGCTGTCAGCTCCCAGCTATGATGTCCCAATTTTACAAGACCAGCAGAAAACAAACTTTTCTCTCCCAACGATCATATAAAGTTCCAGGGAGAGACTGTAACCGTTTCTGCTTAGTTAAAGGCCCACCTTTCGGACCGCTGCTACCAGAAGGGTAGGATATTATAATTGAGGCCAAATAAAACCGCGGGGATAGAGGCCCGAGGCTCCAGAAGAAGGGACAGTGGACGGAGAAACGCGTGGCGTGTCCCTCACATGTCCCTCGTCCGGAGCTGGAGCTCCGTCCTCTCATCAGCTGGGAGACTTGTGAGCCCAATTCCTCACATGCAAAATGATTACCTGACAGCTACTCCTACTTGTACATGTTTCAGATCACGGACACGGTCTCAGAGGAGGAAGGCGCTGCACGGCGCCCGAAGCCGTCTGTTTTCTGCTAACTAGTCTGCGCGGCGCTTCGTATTTTACAAGAAGCTCTTTGCTCTTGTAAAGAAAACGAAGCTCAAGAGGCTGCGTAGCCTAGATTACAGACTAAAGGGAACTTATTTGTGTAGCTGTAACCACATGCAGACGTGCAAACTGTATGACGAGAGTGCAAATGAATCATTTCCTGGATTAAGGAGAGAGGCAGAGACCCACGGGGGAACAACACGCGTGCAGCGTGCCCTCGCTGAGGCGGCGTCCCCGCGAGCCTCCCGCGCAGCTGCAGGATCCAGGAATTTCAGGCCCGAAAGGAAGGCGAGCGCGCACCCTTCACCAGCCAACGGCAGTGCACGCTGTGTGTTAGAGTCTGCAGGCCAGGGAGGGCAGGGAACCCTGAGCAGCTAGCAAATTTATTTATTTTTTAATTTACAAAAAGGAAAAACAAAACTGTGCAGGGCGGCCTTCGCCAGACCCTTCCCGGAACGCTGCTCCAGTCCTGCTCCCGCGGCTCGTCACTCCGCCCCGCGTTTTCACGCTCTCCCTCCGCTTCCCCCCGGGTTAAGGCTCCCCCGCCAGGAGTAAACAAGCAGCCAGGACCCGCAGCCAGTAGGACCAGCCCCTTCGCTTCGTTTCCTGAGCCAGCCCTAGCAACAGTCCCCGCCCTTCGCTACAGGCCCCGCCCCGTGCGCGTCCGGGTGCCGAGTCTCCGGCCCGCCTCTCGAGCCCCCTCCCTCGGGATCCGCGCCGAGGAATGGTGCGTGGCGGGCACGTGACTCGCGCTACGGGCGGTCGGGGCCTGAGCTAAGGAGGGGAGGGGCGTGGCCTGGCGCACTCGGTGCCTCTGGCCCGGCTGGCCCCGCCCCGCGCCTCCTCAGCCCGCTCTGGGCCTGGCACGGGGCTTCCCCGCCTCTGGGCTGCGGAGGTTTCTTCTCCGAACGCAGGGCCTCGTCCTGAAGTTTCCGGCCTGTGCCCGCTGAACCCTACGTCCTCCTGGCCGGGAAGGAGCATCTCTGCCGCATAACCGCGCGACTTTCCTGCCGCCTGCACGCAGCCGGCCCTGTGCGGGCTGTCAGTCTGTCCTGGTGGAATGGAGCCCTATGCCCCGCTCTGTTTGAGACAGTTTCTTGCTAAGTTGTTCACGCTGGGCTCAAATTTGCAGTCCTCCTGCCTCAGCCTCTCAAGTAACGGGGATTACAACTGCACCACTGTCCCTGGCCCTCTCACCAGGGGCTCCTCTACCCGGAGCCCTTCCTGCGTAGGAGAGTCAGATGACTGACTCCCCTCCTGCTGGCACCCCTGCACCCCACTCTGGGAGATGCCTCTGCCTTCACCCGTGCCAGGGTAGCTCCAGGAAACAGGTCGCCTTGGCCGAGCGCTACAAGAGCAGTGGTTTCGTGTCGCTGTTTCAAGAGGGCTATGCAGTCAGACTGCTGAATTCCAGCCTGGCTCCGCCTACCTGTTATCTTGGGCAAGTCCTTTGACTTCTCTGCTGGATTCCAAGGATGACTTGTAAACCCGAGGAGCGGAGATGTGCAGATTAAAGCGGTGAGTGTAGGTAGTGTTCGGAACAGCACTTGGCACCTAATAAAGCAATCAGACAAGTCACTGGGTGCTGTCACTGTGCTGTTATGTTCTTCCTGATTCACTCACACACACACACACACACACAGTACCCAGGCAAGGCTTGAACACCTGACTTTAAGGTCACCAGAGAGAGTGCTAGAGAGGGAGAGGCCGGAGGGGCCATACCCGAGTTGAGAGCAGCCCGACTTCTAAACCAGGAGTATATGTTGTGTGGCAACCCCAACTGTAGTCATAATGACAGAGCTGTGCGTGGTGGGGTGCTGGGTAGAGCAGGAAAGATGGGGTTCAGAGAATGAAGTCGCCATGGAGCCAAATGGCAGAGTGGCGAGAGCAAGTGGCTGCCACCCAGAATGTTAGAGACATGCTGCCCCTGACCTTTGCCCCTGACTCTGAGCCAGTGCCTTTCTCAAGTGAATGCGCACACTCGGTCCTCCAGTGTGCTCCTGGCTCTACGTGCCATTTGCCTCTCTTCATCCTTTAGCACCCGAAGCGTGCACTGGGTGTAAGTGACCAACAAATATTTGGATATTTGTTAAATGCAATCTTATACACACCATCCTGCACGGCCCGGTGGAGGGAGGATCCTCATCTTAAGGCATTTTAGGGTTTCCCTGTCCAAATGTCTCACTTCAGAGTTAAAGGCGTCCAGAAAAGACACTAATCTGGGTTAAGCAGCAAGTTAGGAAAAAGCCGAGTCTCTGCTTTCAGCCCCATGCTGTTTCCGTGATACCACCCTGAACTTTCAAGGCAGCTGGAAGGAAAAACTCCCTGGACCTTACAGAAAGAAGCAAAGAAGGGAGCCAGTGGTTAAGACCTGGTGCTTGGGACCAACAGTGGCTGGGACAGGAGCTGGGAGGACCTGATTCCCTAGGGGCTGGGGTCAGACAGCAGAAGCGCACCCTGCAAAGGCCTGCAGCCTGAGGGATGAGTAGGATTTGGGACCGAGGAAGGGACGGGTCCTGGGAGCAGAAGTGGCTTTCTGCTGAGGTGTGGCAGTCCTTAGGGGTGGACCAGTTAGACGCTGCCCTGGATCTCAGCGGGACGACAGGTTGGAGGGTTAGGTTGAAGCTGGCACGGGGGAAATGTAAGTGCCAGGAGGAGTTTAGACTTTCTTCTGTGGGAAACGGAGGACCCCTGAAAATAGACTCTGAGTGGGTCGATGAGCCCAGACAGAACACCAGGCCCGGTCTGATTTGCATCTGCGGTAGACGGTTGCTGGCTGTATGTGTGCATCTACCGAGCTCCCCCACACAGGAAACTCCAGGCAGCCGCTCGCATTGCGTGACATGTGCATGGGAGCAGAGAGGTGAGAAGAGGAGCCCAGCGTGCCTGCTGCTGACCAGGCACTGTTGCCTGCAGCACCTCATTTCATCTGCCATTGCCTCGGTGACTCCCAGAGACAGGGGACACTCCCTGATCACAGAGCCAGCGGGTGGTGGCAACAGAATTCAAACCCAGCTTGGACACCAAAGCCCTCCCCTGTCGCTTCCCACAACCTTCGGGGGAGAAGACACAAGAAGAGTTCTGGCTCCCGGCTTCCTTCTCAGACAGGGTCGCATGTTTCCGGAAGGCTCCCTTTCTAGGAGCATTTTACATCCTTGGCTTCCTGTTCTTTAGGAAAAGGAAATCCCATTTTGTGTCTTTGGAGTCAAAGCTGGGTTGGAATTCGCTAGTCTCAGGGGCTAACACGGCTAATGAAGCTGAAGCTCCCGGGTCCTTCACTGACACAGGCCCCTTGAGACAGCTGCCCAGTTTCAAACCCCAGTTTCATGTCGTCCCTGAAGAGGGCTCCACTCAACGCATCATCGTCAGGCCCAGGACCTCCGGCTGCCCCACTCTGATGACTCTGCCAGCTACTCTCCGAGACCACCGAGACCACGCTTCCTCTCCTGAGGAAAACCACCCCACTCTGCTCACAGGCTGAACACCTAGCTGACACACTGTGCCCACATTGCTGAGGCCGAAGTAACTTGAAGAACCGGATCTCGAGGCGCCTTAGGCCTAAGACAAAGGTTCACACAGCCCAGAGGCCAAGAGAAATATCTAGGCAATCTGATTATTTCATAGTTAGGTCCAAAGACCAAAGTGTTCACATTCTAACAATTTTATAGTTCTTTACCAAAGTAACATACATAAATTGGAAGGAATTAATAGTTTTATTTCATTTTTCACTGAGTGCTCTTGCTTTCCAATTGGACCTGTGCACCTGAAGACTGCACAACTTCCCAAACCTTAGGATCTGATTGCAACCACCACCCTCATTTCCTGTTGCCCATCAGTTTTCGTATGGTTTTTGCATTTAGAGCAGGGGTTGAGACAGAGTCTTACTATGTAGTTCAGGCTGGCCTCCAACTTGAGGCTATTCTCCTGCCTCAGCCTCCTGAGTGCTGAGTGTATAGGCGTGCACCAGCACACCTGGTTTAGCTCTTGCTTTTTAACTCAGAATCCACCAAAAACCAACTCTGTAAAGTCACAGTGCCATCAAAGTGAATGGAATGCAATCTACTTCATGCTGTGTGTGACAGATGTCAAGAAATCTGAAACTATTTTGAAGTGCATCTACAAATTAACATCTTAGGGTACCCAGCATACAACTTGGGAAAGATCGACTGAGGGACCTGCTTGGGGCTATTTCCAGAAGCAACCACAGAGCAGTGTGGTTCTCTCCAGTGAAAAGTGAGAGGGGGACCCCCGTAGGTCCCCGCTGCCCAGCCAGCCATGGTGCATACTGAAGGTCTTCCTGGTCTCTGCCCTGTGTGTCCCGTCACCCTCCCCGGCTGGCATTTACATAACATTAATAAGGCCAGGAATAATGGGGGGTTGTGTGGAGCTTGGGCCTGAGTCCCAGACCTGCCACGGGGGAGGTGAAGCGCCTTGGCTGCAGCTCAGCCCAGGATTCCCTCCAACTTGAGACATCTCGGAGCCTAGGCGTCCGGCCACCCTCAGGCTCTCCCCCAAGTGCCTGGGTTTCCAGTGCACCCGATTTAACTCAGCCACTTCAGAGCAGGCAAGAACTGAGTCTTCTGGTGCATGATGGGAAGCTGGGCCAGGCCATCTTTAAACTAAGGGAAAATCCATCTTCACGTCAGGCACTAAAGAGCAACAACCAAACGTTCTATAAAGGAGTGCTTGCAAATGGGGCGGCAGAAATGCTGTTTCTGGGTCTGAATGGAGGTGACTGATGACAATCGATTTGGGAAAATTCATCCAGCTGTACTTTGCTCACATGTATGTCTTGCTGTATGTGTGCTCTACCTTAAGTATTTATTTAGTGTGCAATTTTTGCAATTTTTTTTTTTTTTGGTACTGGGGATCGAACTTGGGACCTTGCGCTTGCAAGGTAGGCACCGGAACTACTGAGCTAAATCCCCGGCCCAACCTTAAGTATTTATTTAGTCATTTTTCTGAGACAAGGTCTCCCTATGTAGTTCCAGCTGGCCTTGAACTCACTATGTATAGCCCAGGCTGGCCCTGAAGTCATGGCAATACCCCTGCCTCAGCCTCTCAAGTGTCAGAATTAGTCATGTGCTACCACGTGCAGCCTGTTTGAATTTTAAAAATTGATTACAGTAAAAGACAGATTGGCATTAATTCCCCTCATACTACTCAAAGTACCCCTCCTCACTTTGAACACACTCCTCCATTGTTCTTGGCAATGTGCCTTTTACTGTAAGAAGTTTTAAAAAAAGTATTCAACCATTCACTGTATTTTTCAGTCACCTCATTGTGCAGTCCCAACCCCAAAATAAATTTTAAATCATTTGAAAAACAAAATAAAGTAAGGCTCCTACCAGCCACAAGGAACCTTTAGGACAGGCCAAAAGGAGCAGGATTGTTCCGTGCATGGCTTCTTTTAGGTGCGTCTTTCCTGCAGGTCCCTCCTTCAGCTCTGTCCCTGTCGAGCTGCAAAGGTCAGAGTGCAGATCCAAGAGAGGTGACAGAGTTCCCACAGGCAAAACCCAACACTGCTCCAGAACTGAGGTCCTCCAAGTGGCTGCCCTGTGTGGCTGGAAGGGTGTCGGGTTGTCTGCGTCTATCTGCTGAGCTGGGGGAGATAGCCCAGGAACTAGAGGCTGCATGTTCCATGAGTCACAGCACAGGTGCTGGATCCCAGCCTTGGTGACACAGCTAGCAGAGTGAGCCGACTGTTTCTTCTGTAAGATGATGAGCAGATAGGGGCCGAGGCCATCCTGGGACAAAAGACAACAGCCTTGAGGATGCCCTTGAGAGGAAAGTTTGCCCAACAAGGAGAGCGTTCTGCAGGAACCTCTGGGGGCCAGAAGCCAGGATGAGGTCGCCAGGCATATACGGGGACAGGACTGACTTTAGGGACGGGGCCAAAGCAGGGGCTCCTCGTGCAGCTCTCGTGGTGAATTCACGGGAGGGCGACTTCGGAGCCAAAGGGGAGAAGTCAGTGCAAAAAGTGGTTGCTGTTGCTATATTTTTTAATCCAAATAGTGCTATGCATCAAGATGGTACACAAGGGCTTAAAATAGAAGAAAAAGTGCAGTTTTGCTTGGATTCGCCCTCTCCCCACAGGAGCAGAGAGGGAGGGAAGTGAAGGAAAACAACCCATGCTCTTGGTTACAGAGCATCAAGAAATCAGACAATTGCCTTCAGGCCTCAGTTTTCTCATCTGTACATCGAGTGCTGTGATGCGTTGCTGTGGCCTAAAGGGTTTTCATGAGCACACAGGGCAAGTCCTCTACTGTGAGGCTAGATCCTCAGCCCTTTTTATTTTATTTGAAGATAGAGCCTAAGTTGCCCGGGCTGGTCTTGTACTTGCAATCCTCCTGCCTGCAGATCTGGATTAGCAGGATACAGGCATGCGCCACCATGCCCACTCAATGTTTTTTCCAGGGCAATGCTGCACGTCCAACGGGGGCATCCCTTCTAGACCCTTCAGACACTCAGGTTTGGAGAATCAATTCTGGAGTGTGATTTGCCAAGGAGCCCTGCTCAAAGAGCCAGCAGCCTGGGGCCAGTATCCCAGGGGATTCTTAACAGGATCATCACTGGGCCTGACGTCTGGGAGCTGCTGTACCTTTTAGCCTGTGAGCGAGCGCCAGGAGGGGACCCAGATCTCTAGACAAGATACTCTGTTCCCTCTTTAAGATCGGATCCAAGATACTGTCTGGGAGCTTGAGGGAACAGATGAGGGGCTGAAAAACCAGAACTGGCCAGAGCTGGCCTTGACGAGATGTCGGAGCAGAAGGCACTGTAATTGCTTTTCTTGTTTAATGAAGGGCGGAAGGGAGAGCAGAGGTTAGGGCCGGAGGAGAGAGAGAGATGGGGTCCCTTACTCCAGGTGGGAGTCTTTCCCTGATCACTACCCTCAGGCCATGCACCCAGGGGAACTGGAAATTTGAATTCCTACAGTTGTTCCTACAACCATGGGAGGGGGAGGAGGGGAGGGAAGGGGATGAAAAACAGGAATGAAGATGTGTTTTGTGCCTGCACCAACTCCACACAAGGAGCACAATCACTATGTACTGCAAACCCGTACTCTTTAAAAAGAATCAAGAACTTTAAAAACACTTGACCCTGCAAAAAAATGAAGATGGTTACATTTGGGTACAGCTGTGCAGTTCTAGCATAGCTCCATTAGACATATTTATAATGCATTTCAGGAAACGAGAAATGTTTATAAGATACTAAGTGTGAAAAGCAAGGCACCAAGTGGTTTGCACAAAATTGTCACGTATGTAGAGACATACAGGAGGCTGGGCATGGTGGCACACGCCTGTGATCCCAGCACTTGGGAGGCTGAGGCAGGAGGATTGGTTCGAGTGTGAGGCCAGCCTGGGCTACCTGGTGAATTTAAAGCCATGGGGGGTGGGGGGTGGGGCAGAAATACACACAGCACCTGAAATGATGGAATTGTGGGTGCTTTGGGAGCGTGTGTGGCCCAGTTAGTCAGACCCCTCCACATCTGCCAGTTTCTACACTGAGCGCCTACTGCTTTGCTTATAGGGTGGTGAGTTCAGGTTGAAGACGATCTGGAATCCCGCTTCCTTCGCAGCTGTCTGTAGCAGGCTCGTTTCCTCCCGGGCCAGCTCTAAAGGGCTCACAGGGCCCGGGGGCGGGCGCAGAGGAGCCGCGGCAGTCCCCGCCCCCTGCAGCGCGCCCGCCAGCTCCCTGCCTGGGCTCTTCCCTCCCGTCCTCTCCCCGCCCCTCCCGTCCCCTCCCCTCCCGTCCCCTCCCGTCCCCTCCCCTCCCCTCCCCTCCCCTCCCTCCTCCCCTGCAGCTCGGCCCGGGGCGGCGGCGGTGCGGACGTGCAGGGCCCCACGGAGGCCGTTGCGTGCGTCGGTGTGGACCAGGGCAGCCTGGCCTCACCCCGGCTCCAGAGCCGCTCCCGACGGCTGCTTTAGTGGCTGGGTCAGGGCTTCTTTGGGTCCCTGCTTCCCCCTTGGCTGGACTGCTCCTGCCTCAGCTTCTTTCCTCCAGGGCCTCCAGTGATGGCCCACGCTAGTAATTCCAGCACTGAGGAGGCTGAGGCAGGAGGATTGCCACGAGTTTGAGGCCAGCCTGGGCTACGTAGTGAGTTCAAAGCCAGCCTACATAGCGCCACCCTGTCTCCAAAAAACAAAACAAAACCAATTTCTTTTCCCCAGCCTAGCCGCCTTTCCAGGGTGCAGTCTGTCCTCCCAAAGGCCTTGAGCCTGTCCTTGGCCTTCGCCTCTAGTCTCCACACCCACCGCACCCACGAGGGCAACAGTCACCTCCGCACCTCCCGCTGCTCTCTGCCAACACCCACCCCAGGCCCAGGTCAAATTGGACCTCCACTTCGCCACAGGACAAGTTACTGCCCCGTCTCCCTGTCACTAGAAACATCCCCAGGAGCAAGGAGAGGTGATTCCCGAGACACCGTCTTGGGTCTGTGAGGTACCTTGCAGGGACCTGTGCAAAACGAAAGTGCCAGTCCTGGGTGGAAAGGAGGCTCTGGATCCCACACAGCAGAGCACTGAGCCAGACCTGCAGCCACCCAGCTGGACCTGGTGCCACGGCCAGCGCCTTGTTCCTTGTCCTGCCTCGAGCCGGTGCCCTGAAGAACAGAACAGCTTCGTCGCAGCTGGTGACTGCAGCCCTTTGCTTGGCCAACTCTGACCACCCCAGCGCTGACCTGGCTGGTCCCTTTCTCCTTCAGACCCCTTCCCTGTGCCCTTCCCACCCGCCATGCATTCCTCTCCCCTTTTTGGTGGCTTCCCTTCCCCCTACTTTCAGCCACACCTGTCTGTGTCCCTGAAGGGGATGTGCTTAGGTTGTGGTCTTTCGGATCCTTGGAGAAACTGCCCCTCCCCCGAGATAGTCACACTATGTAGCCCAGGCTGGCCTCAAACTCCAACTCCCAGAGACCCTTCTGCCCCAGCCTCCCGAATGCTAAGATTATAGGCCTGGGCCTGGTAGCCTTCTCTCTGTTTTCATTTCCTTTAAGCATGTCACACCCCAGCTTTTATGTCCCACCCAGATTTCCAAAGCCTCAGTCTTGCCTTTCTAATTCTTTCTTAGCCTTCCTTGCAACTCTATCAAGTCAGAGCTGGGGTGCATGCCTGCATTTTCTTTATTGTTTTCTGGCGGTGCTAGGGATGGACCCCATCAGCAAATGCTCTGCCTCTGAACCCCAACCCCAGCCCAAATGCATGCTGTTTGCCTTCTTCCTCTCCCTCCCCTCTCCCCCCCATCCTTCCTCTCTCCCTCTTCTTTTTTTTGGGGGGGGGGCTACTGGGAATTGACCCCAGGGCCTTGCACATACTAGGCAAGCACTCTATACTGAGCTATGTACTCAGCTCCCTTTTAAAATTTCACTGTGAGACAAGGTCTTGCTAAGTTGCCCAGGCTGGACTCGAACATACAATCTTCCCGCCTCAGCATCCCGAACACTTTTCTTCCTTTTTGAGCAAAAGGTACTCCGCGCTCAGAACCCTTCTAAGTGCTGGAGGCTGTGCAGTATTTGGGGTGCACGCACACAGCCACCCCACCGGCCAGCGCCTGACAAACCCTCGGGATACATCGGAATCAGATCACGAGTTAGCACCACAGGTCCGAGACAGGACGAACGGACTCGAGGAGAACTGACCTCGGCCTTTGTGTGATCTTAGTCAAAGCTGCTTAACCTGGGCCTAATTGCGAGGAAACACTGGACGAGCCCAAGTTGGGGGTCAGCTTAAACTCCAGTGAGTCTCCAGAAGAGGAAATATGGGTTTTCTCCTCTTTTCTTTTCTTTTCTTTTCTTTTCTTTTCTTTCTTTCTTTCTTTCTTTCTTTCTTTCTTTCTTTCTTTCTTTCTTTCTTTCCTTCTTTCCTTCCTTCCTTCCTTCTTTCTTTCTTTCCTTCTTTCATTGTTGTTTGTCTGTTTTTTGAGACAGGATCTTGCTATGCAGTTCATGCTGGCCTTGAACTTACTCTGTAGCCCAGGCTGGCTTTGAAATCAGGGTGATCTCAGCCTCCTGAGTGCCGGGATTACAAGCATGCACCACCATACTCAGCCATCTTATTCTTTTTTTCTCTTTTTGAGACAGGGTCTCACTTTGTAGTTCAGGCTGGCCTCAAACTCACAGTGATCCTCCTGCCTCAGCCTCCAGAGCCCTGGGATTGCAGGCATGTGCCACCATGCCCGGTGATCTTCTTCTTTACTGTAAGTTTTTTCCTGTGAATTTGAAATTACTTCAGAATAAAAAGAAAATTCACCATCACAACCGCCTTTCCCACACCACCTTTTCCTGTAGGCGCCTGCCTAACTGCTTCGGGTTGGTCTGATTCCCCAGTCCCTACCACCTCAGCACTAAGTCCTGTCTATTAAGTTTTTTTGTAAAATAGCTCTCAGGTTTTACACTGAACCCAACTATTTTTTATGACCCTCCTGACCTCACATAATTGTTTTAAGGAGGATTTGTGAGCAGAATTCAAGTTCCATAAAGGGCTGTATAAACACAGGGCTGCTGATTGCATCTCCAGGGTAGATTAGGCTGTTTGCTTCTGCAATCTCCTCACTGGTCTTTCTGTATCCCGCTGGATGCCACCCAGCCTGTGGTCACCAGAGGCTGTGGCCCAAAAGCCATATTTGTCCTTTAGGGACCTGGCTGCCCACGTCCGTGGCTGGGCTTAATCCACAGGCCCTGGGAGCCAACACTGCACTCCTGAGCCAAGCGAGGCATCCGGCCTCATCCTGCTACCGAATGATCCACTTTCCTCAGCTCCCAGAGGAAAAGCGGTGCGCAATGGAACTTTCTTGGCTTGGAAATGTTCATCTTCCTCTATTTGTTTTTCTATGGTAGTCAAGATCCACGCTTCTGTCTGCTAGCATCAGTAGGCAAGAAAAATGAACGAAGAAGCAGCAAATAAATGATAAAGGCTTGGCGAACCCAGTTCTGGGGCTTGGCTTCTCTCACGGTGCATGGGCTGCTAGTTGTGACTTTTGCAGTGCACATCAATTGGGTGGTTGCTTTCTCCCTTCAGAAGTGTAGCTAGCTTTGGCTGATGGGGTGCATCGCATGGACTTCATCAGGAACCACTTAGGGAAAGCACGTGCTCCTGAACACATACCTGGGCCCTCCATTTAGAGGTTTTTCAACCTCACTGCTTCTCCTTCCTTGGATGTGAAGCTTCATTCTTTAATCTTTTAAAGACCGTTCGTCTCCCTAGACGTCTGCCCTCCTCACTTCTGTCTGCACAGCTCCCTCCGGCCTCTGGATCAATCAATCCCGAGCAAGGCTAAAACTGAAAAGCACGATCACTCTCCTTCCTCTAATTCTGACCACTTACTATTTGCAAGCACCTGGTACTCAGTGAAGCATGGCTTCAGGGATTCTCCGTTTACTTATTAAATGTGTTGAGACCGGGCATGTAGTTCCGGCCGGCCTTGAACTCCAGGTGATCCTCCTGCTTCAGCCTGAGAGGAGGGGATTACCAAAGCAAAGCGGAGACTGGCTGCTCTGGATCAAGGAGAGTAGATGTTGATGAACAGAAGAGAGATACAGGAGTAACCTGCAGGGAAACATGTTGGGGAGATAAGTAGAGGAACAGGGATAACTCAAGTGATGACATTTTTGAGGTGAGTTATAAAGTATGGGATGGCAGTCAGATGTAGTTCGTGCCTGTCATCCCAGCACTCTAGGAGGCTGAGGCAGGAGGATCACAAGTTCTAGCCCAGCCTGGGCAATTAGTGACTTAATGAGACTCTGTCTCAAAATGAAAAAATAATTTTTAAAGGGCTGGGGATGTAACTCCGTGCGAAGGTCTGGGTTCTCATCTCCAGTATTGCAAAAATAAAATAAAATTTTTTAAAAAAAGGTCTAGGACATCAAATGTAAGACACACGAAAAAGATCTAACAGACAAGACAAGGTGGGCAAAAGAGGTCAAATCAGCAGCCTGGGTGTTAGGACAGGAGGCTGAGCAAGGGCCACTCAGCCGACTAGGACCCGCTGTGGTGACTTTCTCAGCCCTCCCAGGCACAGTGGCCAATCGTAAGGCTATAGCTGAAACTGGGCCGAAAGATACATCTCATTTTCTCATGCGTTTTTAATTTTTGTTAGTCCATGTTTACAGCACATAATGGTCACATTCCTCTCATGGAGCTGGTACACACACGTAGCTCAGTCTCAATTCTTTTTACATCCCCTTCCCTCCCTTCTCTCTCCCCTCCCTCTACTATTTGGTCCCATTCTCATTTGCCAAAGATCCATCTCCCTGATTCTGATTGTCTATCTTTTATTTGATTCTCTAACTTCCTTATACTTTGGGTATTTCAACCTCGAGTCTGGTTTATTTCACTTAACATTGTGGCCTCAAGGCGCATCCATTTTCCTAGAGACTACTTACGAATTCAAATTTTCTGTGATCCTACAAGGTGGAAGCGTATTTGTTTCTTTGTTTGTTTTGACAGAGTCTCCTGGGCCTTGAACTCACTATGTAGCCCAGGCTGGCCTCGAACTCGAAGCAATCACACACACACACACACACACACACACACACACACACACACAGCCTCCTGAGGGCTTGGATTACAGGCGTGTACCACCATGCCTGGCTCATATGGTAATTCTATATTTATCATTTAATTAAATTATTTATTTCGTGGTGCTGGGGATCGAACCCAGGGCTGCACACATGCTAGACAAGTGCTCTTACACCCCCAGTCCACTAGGTTTAATTTTGTGAAGGAATTGCCACCAATTCCATAGTTGCTGCTCGATTTTCATGTAGAAGATTAGGGCGGGGCAAACTTGGTAAGAAGAACTGGGCGGAATCTGTCAAAGTCTTGGAGGCCACGTGCACAGAACACAGGACCCAGGTTGGCCCCGCAGCTCCTGGGCAAAGCACATGGAACCAATCAGAAAAGTCCTCTTCACTTCTTCATTTACAGCCGGCAGGAAACCAAGCCGGTCTTCCATAGGGCAGTTTAAACACGGCGCCAGGCCCACTGAGTTTCTGATTGGACAACGTCTCAATGCCTTATTTGCATGAGAAAGAAGCCAGTCCAGGAATTCCAGATCCCAAAGCCCCTTTTCCCTTCTCCTGGTGGCCACTGGGTGTCTGTCCCCGGCCACGCTCTCTCTCTGCAGAGTGTACTTTTTTACCTTCAGTGAGTGTACACCCCGCTACCTTTTCTGCGTCCCATCCAGTTCTCTGCTTAGGACCCCAAGATCCTGGAGAGCTCCCCGGGACCCACCCACCAGCAACAGTTTCTTGTGGAACCCAGCCAGGAGGTGACACCCTTCTGAAGATTTTTTTTTCTTTCTCTTTTTCTCTTTTCGCTTTCCTGTTTGCAGTTCTCATAGTGGTCATGAGCTAGACAGTTAAACCCAGCACAGTATCTGCCACTAACCTGGCCATGGAACGGACCACTTTAGGCTCTGCCAGGTACAAGAAAACTTCCAGCCACTGTGCAGGTTCCCTGCGTGCAAGCTAGAGGTGAATACGTGTCTTCCGCTCCTGTGCTTTTATTCTTCCTGTTACATTATTCGGCTTTCTCATCTTTTGGGGAAAACACTATGCATAACTTGGTCTCCTGCTTAACTAGCCACCTTCCCCCTGGATGACCGTTT